TTCGTTTGCGAGAAACAATTCGGAATAGAGATTTTTAAAGGCATCGTTTTTTTGGTAAAAAATTTGCAGAGGTACATATTTAATTTTCTGCTCCTTATTCATATGTATCTCCCATCAAATAATGTATCTATAGCGTAAATCCTATCAAAACAACTTGTATTCATAATGAGACACGTATCAACTTATGAAACTTTATTCATAACATTCGTATAATCAATCAAAGCATTTCAAAATCTGACTGCCGATCTCTTTTTAACGATTGCAATGAGTTCAGATTTCATATGTTGCTTAGTTGCTCTCATGAGAGCTATGGTGCTCTTCTTTCCCAATGCGAATGAATAATGACGAAACTCACTCACCCAAATCTGCAGTTTGACACGTTTATCGCCTCTGAAGACAGTTTTCACTTTGAAGTCAATACCTACAGTTGAGACAAATGCGGACGTGAACGAATCATCGCAGTATCGAAATAAGAACGAAGTCTTGCCAACCGACGAATTACCGATAATCAACAGCTTGAACATATAGTCAAAATTCTGATCGGTGCCTGATGGTGCTGTGCCTGCACCCCCTACTGCAGCACTCGCTGCTCCTGTATAGTTCGATGCGGCCATCTGCAATACCACAACCACCTTATTGAACCCGAAACCAAATTTGTACAAAATTTTACACCAATCGACACTCAAGCAAATACGATGCATTGTACGCGTTCACAACTACTACAAATTCACTGATGCAAATAGATGTGATGAACAATGAATAAATCACTGAACACTGCTGCCTGCATCCATTCCATATGCTCGTCGCATTATCACATATTTGAAATAGTTCATATTAACGTAACTCATAGATCATGGATTGTTATTGTTACTTAGAAGTCGAGTGGTTGTTCTGTCAATCGCTGCCAGCCATCGGCAGAATATTTATACTACTAGAGTTATGATTATTTATTGGATTGATATTTGGCTACGATTAATTACGCAAAATGTTCATGGCAACTAGTTAACTACTCGGTTGTGTTCGTTCGGTTGGCCTGCTCGCCTAGCCAGCGGGTGGCGTAAATTGAGGCTAAAAGAACGCGCACGGAAACATTGCGAGCATTGTGGCCAGCAAGGTTATGAACGTTTGATAGCCTGCTTGCCAATGCAGGTAATCCACAGATCAACGGTCACTCTGAGGTCACAAACCGAACAATAAATTACACATTCGAAAAGGATTGCGTTCTTCCAAGTTGAATACTATCGGTGACTATGCGGAAAGTAAGATTTAAAAGAGCAATGCTGAAAATAACCATTCTGAGAATGACAATAGAGAGATGTAAGTATTAATGACTTGTAATTGCTGGCTTAATGAAGAAAGAATGAGTTATCCCATGAAACAATTCGAATACCTCTTCTCAACTACAAATGACCAAAGCAATCGTAAGATTTAGATGCACCATCATTTATACTCTACTGAATAACAATCCTCATCACAAGTTTAGCGCAAAAAGCTTCCTTCGCTCGTTGTGGAAAATTTTCGTATTTCAGAGAAGAAACAAAATTACTGACATGCAGAGTGGCATTACACCCGATTCATTGGTCACCTCTGCAAAGTTACTCATTTATTAAATGAAATCCCCTGGTGGTAAATTCACAAGATAAAACCCGATGAGTTTCGCTATCACCACATCAATCAGAACCATTCAAATGCCATCTCATCTCACACTACTAGATTTGTCAATAGAACCGCGACACGCTTACATTCCTTTCAATTCTTACGCACTGTTTGAAGCAAACACACTCGATCGCATCTAACATCTGAACATGAAAATGCCAAGTAAGTTCAAGTCAATAAAGTGCACCAAACAACAGAATTTCCTCGGATATCAGAGAGGGAAGAGCGCTCAAATTATGTTTTATTCAGAGGGAAGGGCCTCAACAATCAGAGGGAAGGGCTTCAACAGTTCAAATTCATCACTTACATACGTCCAACAACAACTTTTACTCATTCATTTCACATGAGTACTCACATCTAAAATGTCCAACAAATGCGTTCGATAATGAAATATTTATCTCACTTGAAAACACCTTGAGAACTTATTCGAAATTGTTCTCCCTCATTAAATAATTCAATGAGCAGTAAACCATCGATGTATTCACCGTCAATCCTCTGTTCATATCCAAGCAACGCTTCAAGGAACATCGCACAAACAAACTTCTGAACATAAGCATCATAAGCTATTTCGACGAACATGTATGCA